TAGAAGGCACAATTTCGTTGGTGGAGTTAATAAACAAAAGAACAACCCCATAAGGATTTGGGCATGAAGAATCTGTACTGGTACGCGATAGATAAATGCGGGGGAGTTGACATCTACAGCGACGATTCCAAAAATTGCCACAATTCATCAAGGAAATAACAGACCTATAAAATTATAAAGATGAATAGATTTGGATCACATAGGGAAATCATAAAAAAGGCTTTTAAAAATTTACATTATATCCCCTTGTTCGGTCAATTATTGTCTCACCCTGTAGAGCTGCATGACTCGTCCCGAATATCACAATTATTTCTTGCCTAAAGTTCCAAAGTATAACCTTAGTAGGGTGCAATACAGGGCAAATATGTTTAAATATCGACTCGGGCCGGTCCGTGTACCGCTGCTTCAATTGTTTGAAACATTATCTAGCAAATCGGTTTTGGTTGAAAAGTTTGCTAATTAAAGTAAAACAAGGAAAAAGTAAATGGTTTTGAAAGCTCTGTGTGAGAAGGATCACTCGGGTGTCGCTTCCCCCTAACTACTACCATGACATGTGAATCAAAGTGATTGCTATGGGCAAGGTGACCGCGAACAGCTAGGAAACGCAACTATGGTCGTAGACCACACTCTCGATTGCCAAACCAAGGGATACATTATAGGCTACTCAAGTATCCCTCTTGGTTAAGGCAATCGATGGTTGACTTACTCTCTCACTCAACCCAATGGTTGGTCGGCTTAATAACGCGTAACCAAATCGCGTAATTCACATAGAGGGTTAAAAAAGACCTACATTAACTTAGATAGGTGACTTAAAAACCCCTAGGAATCCCAACTCAATTGAGCCTCCCTTGAAAGGGGGTTTTCCCTCTAATCTAGGTTAGAATGGCCAATTGGATTGCTAAGCACAAACATGCAAAATCAACATGAAAAATACCTCAATCATTGAATTAAACAACACCCATAAACAATCATTCAATTCACACAACAACTACATGGCAAATAGTTAGGGTTTCACAACACCCAACTACCCATGTGAAAAAGGAAACTACTCCATGCTAGAAAGGGGAAGAATATAAGTGGAAGAGGTAGAAACCGTCATGGTTATGCCTCCAATCTCCTTCGAGCTTGTGTTGATATTCTTTTGGGGGGAATCTTCCCAATTCACCACTTGGAGCAAACCCTAGCCTTCTTTCTTCTTTGGTTCGTTCTTTCTCTCTCTAAAATCTGAAGAAGAAGAAGAAGACACTTTCTCACTCTTGGGATCTCTCTCTCTCTCTCTCTCTCTCGCTTCCTTTTAGCTCTCCTTTAAACAGGGATCAAGCTCAGCTCATGGCCTCAGTTCACGACCGTGAACTCTTGAACGCATCCGTGAACTCAAGGTTGGCGTCGAAACGCACCGCTTTGCTTGCTCAGGTTCACCGGCAACAACTCCAGTTCACGGTCTTAGTGACCGTGAACTCGCCTGGCGTCAGTAACTTTTGGAAATGCCCCAGACGCCTTGATGTTCACGGACCATGCCTCCTCTTCACGGTCTTAGCAGGCATGAACTCCCAAGGGAAATCGTGAACTACCGGTTTTTCACCTCTTCTCCCAATTTTTGCTCCTTTTTGTTAAACTTTCGACTCCGGGGCTGGTTTCACCTGTTAGATCCTGAAACATACTGAAACACAAGAAACCTAGTGTAAAACCACCCTTTTAGTAGCACAATTGCCACAAACCGCCTAAGGAAAACGGGGGTAAAATGCTTACAATTAGGCCTGAATCGCTCTCCCACACTTAGACGTTTGCTTGTCCCCTAGCAAACCATTTCACACAAGGTAATATTTCAACCTACCAAAATACTTTGGGGACAACTCAAAGGGCACAAAGTGGGAATTCTCAATGGCTATTGGCAATTAATACATGGACCGTTGCAAGCAATACCGACATCCACCACAAACGACATTTAGGCCACCAAAGTGGGAAAACGAAAAGTTCTCACCTTGTTCATGGATCAATGCAAGTCTCAACAAGACCACTTATCAACCACAACTAACCATGCATAGAATTCAAGTCCGAGGAACAAATGGAAAGGCAACAAAGGTCCTCACCGGAGAATGATATAGCATGCAAAACAAGAATGAATCACTCACTCTCAAGACCAATGGGGTCGGGACATTTTTAGTGCAAAAGATGTGCACAATCATCAATACTTGGCCCTATATTCTCAATACCACGGTGGTAACCTCTAAATGCTAGAGCTCACGGGATGGTTGTCACCACTAGCTTGTCCGGAGGTCTTAGACACGGGTTCAATGACTGGCAATTGTCTTGGACAAGGGGAAGAAGCTTTTTGGGTGGTGGCAAACACGACATGAGGTTCTACATCTTCAACCTAAACCCAAAGGTTCCATGGTTTCGACTAAGAACCTTATCTTCAACCAAAGGCCACTAGCATCGGCCAAAAACCTTATCTCTCCCTTCCAAACTATCACCCATCGTGAACTACATTTAAGCACTCTTCCTCGATCTACTCTTGCTATCACATTATGGTTTGGTAGTGAAGGAGTTCTAAAACAATGTGGGGGGTTTCAATGGCTTGAGTGCCAAGAAACCCCTCCTATAGCATACACTTTGATTTTTCGTGGCACTCTCTACTATATTTACCTCGTTTTATTACCTCTTTTTCGATTCATTTTTTCCTTTTCCTTTTCACTTTCTCACTTTTTTTATTTTTATTTTTATTTTTGAAAGGGGTACTATAGACTAAAAACACTTTCTACCTATACATTTAACGACCAATGCTCTCTTTTCAAGAACTCACTCCAATACTACACTTCATTCTTTTCCATTCCTAGCAAGGACCGCACACAAACCTCCTATGTAGAACCTCAAAGGAACTCGAAAGCGAGAGCTTCGGGGCACAAGGACGACTCAAGTTTAGACAAGAAGAAAGGATTGGGGGTCGTTCTATCAACCCCATTAAGCTCACAAGCAAGAAGCTCCTAATTTAAGAACGACCCTCGAAGTCACAAGGCTCATAGGGGTTGACTAAGGGATAACACATTTCGGGACAATCAACATTTGCGCGTGGACTAATCCTATGCCTATATCATACTCACTAGTGACAACCGTGATGTTACACGCCATGGTAAGAGGGATCTAAGCACACAAGAAAAAAACGATCGGCTCGAACCCACATGTCTACCTAGTCACCCAACCATCTATTCCAATTCACAAAACACAATGCATGGCAAATTGTAGTCAACAAGTAATCGAGTCACGACATCCATTCATTTATGCACACATGAGAACAACACTTTTGCACTATCCTAATGGACCTCTCAGTCATCATCATAGGATATACTCGATCACATGCAACAAATCAAGATCAATGCCAATAAACACGAGATTTTCCCACAAACCGGCCACTTTGATCATGCAAACATTGCTTGGAGTCCTCAAATTTGGGCATACATCAAGGCTCCAAGCATAAATCACACTCACATAAGCATAATAGGAAACTGCCTCCCTCCTCCCCCCACTTAAGCTCGACATTGCCCTCAATGGCGTAAGATAGGGGTAGAATGATGTTAGCGCTCGGGCTTGGTGAGTACGTCCACCACCAAGGTCACTCTCCCTCTCTCGCCACCCGCCGCAACATCAAAGGTCTGGCTCCATCGGTCGTCGATGACTCCCCTCGAAAGTGCTTCTTCTTCCATTCGCGGTCGAGTTCCTTCCACCCCCGTTCTTCTCTTTTTCCTTTGGTGGTTGAAGCCGACACGCGGCGGCGGTCAGGTGGAACGATGAGATCTCCCTGTGTGTGGAGACTGGTAAGCTCTTTTCCACATGCATATGGGTTCCTCCAGCCTCGTTTGATTTTCGGTAGTGAATTTGATGTTTGGATTTGGGTTTTGTTCTCAACCTCAGAGAGTAGAAGAGAGCGAAAAGAGGGGAGGGCTCCAGTGGATGGTCTGTGAGCAGGAGATGAGATCTTCTTTTGGAACGGCCGTGGAGGATTGGTGGTTGCGGGAGGGGCGGCCAGGCGTTGGTTGTATGTGTGGGAGACAGAAGTTGGGATAAGGATTAAGGGATAGAGGTGAGAGCTTGGTAGGTGATTGGGCTTAGGGTTGTGTCCTGGTTGGGTCTGGGCTTCGAAATAAGAGAGTTGGGCTGCCGGGGGAATGGGCTAGGGAGTTTATTGGTCCAGGTAGAATATTTCGGTTCATCGGTTCGGGCTTCGGAAACTTGCTTCGGTCGAGAGAACCCTCATTTCCGAATAAGGCCAATTTTTCTTTCGAATTCCGAACCAAATATCATTAGTTTGGTTTGGTTCGATTCGATTTTGGGTCGGTCCAGTCCGGTTCAGGTTTACTGAACCGGATGCCCACCTCTATCTGATACCACCTAATATAAGCTGAGGCTCTAACTCCTGGACTTAAACAATAAAAAATGCATCAAATATCGATTAGAAGCACAATGATCACAAAGCGGATAATAACCCAAACCTAATTCACACGTTGGGAAGAGAGCCAGGTATACGAAGCTTTTGGCGTTAAGGGAGGCGATACATTGGTGTACCAGCTTGGGACGAGATGATATTATGCTTCAGGGTGATGCCAAGGTGGTGATTGACACGATCAATGAATGCTGTGTTACTGATGTTCATGGTGGGGCAATTTTGAAGGAGGTTCGTGCTTGTCGGGTGTCTTTTCCTAATCTTTGATTCTGGTTCGTGAGGAGGGAAAACAATAGTGTTGCCCATGCGGTGGCTAAGAAGGCCCTTTATTTGTTTCCTAATCGATGTAATGGGTTTGGTTTTTATACCTGGCTCTCTGTGGAGGCGGGCATGATCTTTTGATTCTGGTTTAATACAGGCTATCATTTTGTTAAAGAAAAAAAAAATCAGCTGACCAAACATTGTGCGGGATGCCCATGTTGTTTGGGCTTCATTCCGTATCAAAAACGCATTACAGGCTTACGCAGTCTGGCCCATTAAACTGAAGCATCGACCGCTGCAACCCGGGAAGCTCGTCTTCTGTTCACTTTCTCCCTCTCCTCGTCTAGGCTTTCTAGCTTTCGGAATTCAGGCGGTAAAGCCGGGCTCTTCTCTTTGCTCTTCGCTGCTTCTGTTCTTCGGCAAGTTCACTCTCAGAGTCAGCAGGATTTTGAAACTACTCTTGAATTAAGGATTCCCACATCCTAGGGTTTTCGCCATTCGACGGGAATCGCGGATGTTTTTCCCCCTCCGCCAGTCCCGTTGATTAAGCTGCAGCAGCAGTAGAGGGAAGTAGGACGGAAGAGGAGGGAGAGGAAGCGATGAGGCGGGACGGTGGCGGGGTTGAGGTTTTGACGTTCGATTATTCTGTGGAGAATCACTTCAATGCAATCGACACAATTTCCGAGCTCTGTGGCGAGCCCGGCGCCGGTGTGCCTCTCGACGAAGCGGAAATTCAGCGTTTGTCGCCGTCGATCACATTCCTAAAGTAAGAGCAAAATGATTGTCTCTGATGGAACGATTTGTTCACTTTCTTCTTCACAGCTACTTTTTAGCTGGTTCGCTATCTTTGTTGTATTGGCGGTACCTTTTGGGAGCCACATTGTAACTGAAGTTCTGAACTCTATTCAGAGAATGGCGGAATTACACTTATCCTCCGAGGGATTTTAGGTTTTCCTCTGAAGCAGAAAGTGCGCCTGGCGAGGAAGGCGTTGCATGTGACTTAAATTTGCCTCAGTTTTCCTCCGCCGCTGTTGCCGAGGTATCTAGTCGACTTGCACTCATCAAAAGTTTAAACCTTGAATTCTGTGGCTTAGGAATAGTGATATACTTAGCCTGTGTATTCCCTTCTCTGAATTCTGGTGTAGAAAGAAAAATTGCATGGGAGTACCACATCAACGAGATCCAGGTGCTGTCCAGATTTTGGTATTTGACCAGTTAGAGTCTCTTTTTCCCCAGTTTTTTTAAAGATGTATTCAAGTTTCTGTAATAACTAGAAAGTCATGGTATCCTTCAATACCTTGCTGCTCTCACTTGATTGAGATCCTTGTTAAGGTTTCCTTATATTTATTTTGCAGTCTGTCTTTGCTTTCAGCGTCCTTTTAACATGCAGTTCCAAACTTATTGTTCCCCTCTTAGTGCAGCAATGACTTCGTGATGTATGTTGGGGGACCTGTTTGGTCATTGGATTGGTGTCCTCGAAGTCATGAAGGACCTGACACTAAGGTTAAATCTGAGGTATTTCCTCCCTGCTACAAGCTTCTCGATATGTAAATAGAGTGCCACATTTGGGCTTGATGTGTGTCTCCTGGGGTTTTTCGGTTTCTGATTTGTACTGATTGATGTCTATATTCTTTGTTTGAGTCTCCGAGGACTCATATTCCATGTTAAGTAATGGTTCCAACATGGTATTTGTTTCTGTTTCTACTTTGGCAGTTTGTTGCTATTGCTGCCCATCCTCCTGGCTCCAGCTATCACAAGATAGGAGCTCCTCTTGTTGGCAGAGGCATCATTCAGATCTGGTCCGTTCTCAATGTCCATCAGAATAAAGAGGAAGAGCCTTCGGGTATCAAACAGCCAAATTGGACAACCAAGTTGGTGAAATCAATTGAACCAAAGAGGCCACGAGGAAGACCTAGGAAGAAGCCAGTAGATGATTGCACTGAAGCTAAGAAGCCAAAAGGAAGACCCAGAAAGAAGTCAACTAATGAACCAGTGAACATGATAACTGATGGTTTGAATTGTGATGACCAAAATGCTTTAGCTCTCGTTGTTGAAGATCCTAACAGTTCATGTCAACAAGGAAGACCTCGGAAGAAGCAGGTGGATGAATCCGCTCAAGTCAAGAAGCCAAAAGGAAGATCCAGAGAGAAGCTAATTGATGAACCAATGAACAGGCTAACTGACGATTTAAATTTGGACGACCAGGATGTTCAACCTCTTTCTGTTGCATATCCTAGCATTTCACGTCAACGAGGAAGATCTAGGAAAAAGCACGAGGATGATTGTACTGATGTCAAGAAGCCAAAAATAAGACCCAGATCCAGAAAGAAGTCGATTGATGAACCAGTAAACAAGCAAACTGGTGCATTAAAATTAGATGACCAAGATGTTGAACTTCTTGTTATTGAATATCCGAGCAGTTCAAGTCAGTTGCTTGTTAAAGGAAAAGATTCAGCAGATACACAAGGGCAGAGGCCACAGAAGCAAGAGGTTAGGAGAAGAAAAACACTTAACAGGGCAGAACCTGCATGCACTCCAAAAGATGGTTCAAAGAGTAGATTGTTGAAGCTGAAGAAAATTGCATGGAGCAAGTCTGATGATTCTGTATGCCCATCATTATTGAGTCAAAACGGCGAGTCTTCCACTCCAAATCACCAAATGAATGAGGCCGAACACACTTGCACGTCAAATGATGGTTTGCAGTCTGGAGGATTGAAACGTAAGAGAAGTACAGCGAGTAAGTCTGATGATTCTGTAGGCCCATTAGCAATTAGTCAAAACTGCAAGCCTTCTGCCCAGAATCACCAAATAAATGAGAAGTCCAGGCAGGATGTTGTGGCTCTTGATTTTGTTCCAGATCATGTCACCTCAGACATCAGTCACCCTACACGTTCTATTCCGAAAGACGTAGCTTTACCACGAGTTATGCTGTGCCTAGCTCACAACGGAAAAGTTGCTTGGGATGTGAAATGGAAACCTTGTACTGCATCCAGTGCTAATTGCCTGCATCGTATGGGCTTTCTGGCTGTGTTGCTAGGAAATGGGTCTCTAGAAGTGTAAGATCTCTAATTCCTCTGGAACTTGCATGCTTGTCCTGATGTCCATTGCGGTAGCTGATAAACATTTCGATCACTCTGCTTCTAGATTGACTTTACAATAACATTAATTTTAGAAGGCTACCTAAGGTTTACATTAATAATGGGGAAGGTTGAATAGGAATTGTGTACTTCTTAGCGGAGACTGTAGAGGTCCTCAGTGGTGGTGTAGTATGGATATGGTAGCGATTCTGTTGCAACATATCAGATCAAATAATTAGGCACCAGTAATATTGTGCAGAAATGAGCATTTGGCTTTGGCAGTTTCTTTTGAGCAGTCATTTAAGTTATCTTCATGTGACCCTTAGTATATGGTTCTAGAGAAGGCCAATTCCTGAGTGAAACATTAGCAGTATAGGTGTTCATTGCCCCATTATTGCTTTCCTTTTGATGATGTCTTATTTGACGGTATTTGTCACTCATATACACAGATGGGATGTCCCTCTTCCTCATATTATCAAAACGATTTATTCTGTTTCCCATGGGGAAGGCTGTGATCCCCGTTTTGTTAAGTTGGAGCCCATATTCAGATGTTCGGTTCCGCAAAGTGGACATGCAAAGAGGTATGTGATGGTTTCTTTATAAAATCAGATATTTCATGGTCCTATTCCTAGCACTCTGAGACTAATGAGTATGTTTTTAATGCACATATATATGTTTTATGGTCTAATCTCGTAACAGGTAATGTGAGATAATAGTGCTTCAATGATTTTCTATGCTGTTGTGCTTCATCTGATTGTTTTCCTAAATTCATGGTTACTTCTCCATGCAGCATCCCTCTGACAGTAGAATGGTCATATTCGCGACCCCATGATTACATACTTGCTGGGTGCCATGATGGAACGGTAATGGATAAATAGTAAACAGTACTTATTTCTTTTCATGTTGTCCTTCAATTAGTTCGTGTGTTTTTTTTCTCTTACAACAGCTTCAGGATGAATTCTTGCTGCAGCTGATAGCTGAATTGTTGTGAGAGGGTGTGTGTATGTGAATTTGTGTTCTCTGTATCTAAGTATAATGTTTTGCACTGTGGGTTCTCTTTGCCAGTAAGAGTTTTAGGGTCCTGAAAACAATGAATTTTCTGATTGAAGACCTATTAGTTAAATGTTCATCGGTTTTCCAACTTGTGTCAATTTGATTGCAGCGTTCTGCATATTCTTTTCATGTATTTGTTGACACACAATCCACCTGGTAGCATGCCAAGGCATGGTATTTCAAGGGGAAATGGATCTTTCCAGAGTTAAAATTCTTGGAGTTTCATTTCTCTATATCAAAGCAGTTGTCTTGATTGGCCTGAAAGGCAAAAAATACGACACAAATATTAATCAAATAGAGGTTATCTGTTTCGCTGATTTCCAAGACTCTGCTATAGGTTGATTTGCTGCTTTGGCATGACGGTGCTTCTAGGACCCAACAGTAGGAGATCCTTTGAGTACAGAATGTATACCTACTCACTTTGACTTCAATACCTATAATTTAAGTTCAGGTGGATACAAAAATAAAAGAGCTACATACATAAGTCCTGCTGCCCCCATCCCCAATCTAAAACTGATTCCTTCTGCATGATGAGTAGGTGTCTAATTTTTTCAGGTTGCTTTGTGGAAATTCTCGACGAGTGGATCATCTGGAGGTATTTCTACATCTTCGTCGTTGCTACTGTTTCTTGCCGCCACCATCTGCAGAAAGACATAAAATTCAAGTTCTTGATTTGATCCAAATGTACCTTAATTTACATTCAGATGCCATCTTTACCCCTTCCAATTACTGCAGATACAAGGCCTCTGCTCTGTTTCAGTGCTGAAACAGGCCCTATTCGAGCCATCTCATGGGCACCAGCTGAAAGGTTAGTGATTTTCAGGTGTTATCTTTGTCATTCTGGTGAGGGAATCTGCGATTATGAGTAAATGTAGACCACCTTTTATGGTTGCAGATGGATCATTTAGTTTTAAGTTTGTCACTTTGTTAGTAACATCTCCTGCTCCCAAGCTTTTGCATGTGATGTAAGTAATTGTGTTTGAAAAACTATTTTTCAAATGCATACGGTACCTCCAATTTAGTCTTCAGGGATACTTGGCTCAGAGAGTTTGGCCTCCCTACTTAAGAGTTCACCATCACCTCAGACAACTTACAGTTAGCAAATTAATTAAAAACAAAACTGCACCAAATCTGATATTGGTCACCGTCAGTTCTAGGACTTGTAAAACCATATGTTTTGTTTGCTTGGACTTTTTCTGATCCTCCTCCCCCTTTTCGCTATCTCCTGCCTTGTTGGGATGTAATCCGACGTTCCTTGCTTGGTCAGTGGTGAAGCTAGTGAACATGTAATACTGACAGCTGGACATAAAGGCTTAAAGTTTTGGGATTTGCGGTAAGTAAACACTTAATTTTGTTATTTTTGTGATTATATTGTAATTATGATTGGTTTTGCTTTAACCATACCTGACATTTTGAATCCTCACATGTGTGCTGATATATTTGATTATGTGATAAAGAAGCACACCAACAAAGTAATTGGAGCCTTTATTTTTGCAGTGATCCATTCCGACCACTCTGGGAGTTCCGACCAGCACCAAGTTTCATATACAGTGTGGACTGGGTCGCACATCCAAGGTCTTGTGATATTTCTTGTTGGACAAACTTCGGAACAGACTGTTGACGATATCTTATCCTAAGGTTTTGATCATGTTCCTTTTCCTGTTCCAGTTGTGTATTGTTATCCTTCGCGGATGGAAGAATCAGACTTCTTAGTTTGGTGAAGGCTGCTTATGATGCCCCTGTCCATGGAAAGCCGTCTGTGGGACCACTACAACAAGGAATGCACATTTTTGAGTGTTCAGCCTTTGCCATCTGGAGCGTTCAGGTGTCTAGACTAACAGGTTTAAGTCCCTTCCATTCTCTCTATAATCACTCTTTTAAGTTTTTCATTTCCCCCCCAAAGTGTTGTCTCCTCTAAAAGAAGAATTCAAATTTTGCTGTTTTAAGAGTGTGGCAATTCGAAGAACTATTTCATGTCAAATGGGCTTGTGCTTGTTTATTGAACACTCTTCACAAACTGATTCCCGATCTGTTGCTGTGAATTTGTAGGGATGGTAGCATATTGCTCCGAGGATGGTATCGTTAGCCGCTTCCAGGTTAAGACCTTCCTGGTGCAGAAGTTCTGAGCAATATGATATCCATCTGATTACGCTGCAACATTTTTCTGCAGTCAGATACAGTTAAAATGATAATGGTCTGAAGCAGGATAATTTAGCATGATGCTTACGCAATTTACTTCCTTGTTTGCAGCTTACGAGTAAAGCAGTGGAGAAAGATCCATCAAGAAACCGAGTCCCTCATTTCGTATGTGGGACGCTGAGTGAGGATGCATCTGGTCTATTGGTCAACACCCCATTACTGAATACCCTAACTTCCAAGAAACCACCGAGGGTTACGGGCAACCCTCGGTACCTGCATGGGTTATTAACTTCCTTGACCAAGGCCGAGAAGGAGAAAGACCCACCATCGTCTAACAGTGATAATAACAATAAAGAGCTAGGTAAGTAAGTCAATTGCCACACGACATGGTCTGATTTCGCTACTAAATCCTGTTCATTTGACATCGAACTTGGTTGCAGCTTTATTCTCGAGCGATAATGTTCCAAACGAGAAGTCTGGACCTGAAGAACCTTTGAGTGAATTGAGAAAGGGGAAGAAGAAAAGCTCCAACACAGGAAAGACACAGAATGGGAAATGCGTAGAGGAGCAAGACACACCGGCGGAGGAAGAGACCGTAGAGGCAGAAGAAGAGAACAATACTGGACGTTTGCCGTCTAAACTTGTTGCCATGCACAGGGTCAGATGGAATATGAACAGAGGCAGCGAGAGATGGTTGTGTTCGGGAGGAGCAGCAGGCATCGTCAGGTGCCAAGAGATTGTGTTGTCTGATATTGACATGCTTGTGGCCAAGAAACGATAGGCCAAAGTCCAAAGCCTTTTCTTCTTGTGTAACTATTATTATGTGATTTTAATTTAGGTTGATTCGTGATATTTTCCCCAGTTTGATGTCAAGTAATGTGCATTCCCTGTTGTAGTTGATGCTTGCTTACATCATTCTCACTGAATCCACCGAACATCGCAATGGCGACCGATCGGCTTCCACAAGGGGGCGTAATTATCGGTTGTGGAAGTGGATGCTTTTGCTTCCGTTGTAATTAACTAATTATTATTAACAATTCGTGTAATAGTCAAAACTCAAATGAATGTTTACCCACTCTAAAACCGCACAGCTGACCACGAGGGTTGAGGGTGATGTCAGAATGACTACTGAATGATGAACCATTCATGACACGTGCTAACCTCGCAGAGACACTTTCAACCCATTTATCCAGTTCGTCATACCATGCTCAAATCGGACAATTTTGTAGTCTTTTGTTTTTTTGTCATATATACACAAGAAAATTACAAATTGCTCAAAAGTAAAAGTCGATAGTCAACCAAGCATTGATCTATCAATGTAAGGTCGGTTTTGCCACAAAACGAGTAGTTCTGTTAGTATTATAAGAAAAATGAACACAAACAAATCGAACAATCGAAAAAGAAGCCTTCAACAACCCGATTTATTCAAGCACCGCTCCACCCCGATCCTGCTGCACATTATTCTCCAAACCTCGACGAATGACCAATTGGAAATTTCCATAGAAGCAAACAACATTGAAACCACATCCCATCTCTAAGCGTTAAGAGTTCCAACAAAATTGGGTTTGACAAACCTCCATAAACCTTGCCGTAGGCATAGACAAAAGAAGAGTCCCCTGCAAAGCCCACGAAGCCAATGCTACCTCCATGTTCCTCCGTAATGACCCGAATCGAACCACTAAACCCCCTGAGGGGAGGATAAATCCGCTATCGTTTGAGGAGTGCGCACTGCATTCTGATTTGGAAGAGGCTAGTTCTTGGTAGTATCATGCCATCGGCGATGGAGACAGGATTTGAAACTACGCTTATTTTCTTTTCAGAATATAAACATATAAATAATATACAATTAATAATTAAATATAATTAAAACTAATAATGTCCAGATAATTCATTCATAGATAAAAAATAACCAAGCAATACAATTATTGTTTGCATAAACCATCACAACGAGTTGTCATATTCTGAAAGAAATGCAAAATATATCCATTGTCTACACTTTTACAAAAGTATATTTCAATGTATCCCACTAAACAATCATTAGCAAATCGATCGCCAATTCGGCTTCGAAGCTTGTTCTTAATATAGCTCAGCTAAAACTGCTCTTTCTACATTCATAGGTGCAACTGGTAGAATCAAAACTACCTTCAGAAGCAAATAAACTGATGGGAACGACACATACACATTTGTCTCCACCATTAATTGAGATAATTCATCATGAACAAAGATAATGTCGTGAATGGAATGAATAAATTACCCCTGTCCTGGGACAAGGACAAAAGGGGGTTGGCTCGCCTGTGCATGTCATTCATCCACTTGAGCCCTATATTGACGAAAAAGAGCAGGCGGTAGATGTCAAATATGGTCGTAAGTTGGCCAACATCTCCCTTTCCATAGTCACCATGTGAGAAACACAATTCCAGCATAACAGCAGGACAAGAAGAAACCATCGTTTTTTCTTCTACTGCTGGACTCGAACCACAACCACTTCATCAGCACAAACCTACTTACCGAGATGTCGTAGAGAGACGAATCCCAGAGCCGCGTGTAAAATGGAGAATGGACAATCGCCAACCAATGGGAGTGCTCCATTTTTTATGGCATAAAGAGACGTTTTTTACTATTTGATTGTCTTGCTATTTTCACTATCTCACTTTCACCAGGACAACTGGATCACTGACTTGTAATCAGACTATATAAATCAACTGAGAAGAAGGTGAGAGGGTATGTTGAAACCTCAAACCCTATTTGGGCGCCAAATCATTGTTACTGCAATATGAGCCTTGGATAGCTTTACAAAACAACGCAACCAACTCCGCGACTCATGGAGCCATCGTGTAGCACCAAAACACCGCCTAGTGGGCATGTTCCATCTCCCACCGTCGAAGGAGACATTTTAGTGTGCTATATAGCATTGATGCTTTAATACACTTAGAGCCATTAGATCTTGTTGTAAAATATCAACCATTGGATCTAAGTTATTTAATTATTTCTTTTTTCCATTGTTGGAATGGTGACCTGTTGCACCGGTAACGAATATAATAATTAAAAAAAATTGAAATCAAATTGGGGCAAAGACGATTGAGCTTGTCGATGCCCAATAGACTGGGCTCTGCTCTTCCGCGGTGGGATTTCAGCGCGTCTCTTCGTCGATAATGAAAGGGTTGAGTTGCGGCGACGGCGAACCAACATCTGTCTGAGCGTTGGAATAGTGTTTCCCTCGGTTTGAGGTATAAGGAATCCTGAATCCCTAGCCCTAAAAGAAAGAATCATGAACAATAGTGAGAAGAAGCGGATGAACGGTGAAGCAGAAGAAGAGAATGAAGAAGATGTTGAAGATGAAGGGTGTGATGCGTAGGAGAGGACATACACAAACGAGAGATCATGGGAGGCATTGGAAGAGGATGAGTCAGGACCGCTTCAACCTATTGATAACAAGGCAATCTACCATTCTCAATATCGTAGACGCCTTCAATCACTTTCAGCCACGTCCGCCGCATCGAGGATCTAAAGGGGCTCATTCGGTTTCTCTGCGTGGTGGTCGATATTTAGAAGGTATTATTGATTTTCATTTGATAGTGTTCTAGTTGATGGTGTAATGACTTTTGAGGTGATCAATACATGGCTCTCATTTGACATGTTCCTCTAAGATCAAGTCTCTCAAGTCTAACACTAGAACCCTTACTTATAGCAGTAGTTTATGACAAACTGTTATCTGTGTGATGTAGTTAAACTCAGTGTTGATAATTTCTATAACTTGTTGCGAAATGCTTGATTGGTTATTAGCTTGATTTTAGTTATTAGCCTCTAGTTATTCTTAGTCTTTAGTTGAACTTGTACATCAGAAGTTATGAATGAAAGGTTCTTAGCAATTAGGTGGTTGGTTTGATTTTGAAGATTTGTTGTCAATTTTTGGCAGGAAGCTGGAGAGGTGGATTTCAAACCAAGTCGGATGGCTGTGATTGCAAAACATGTTGAGGCTTTCATTAGGGAGTTTTTCGACCAAAACCCACTTAGTCAGATTGGTCTGGTGATTATAAAAGATGGGGTAGCTCAATCTTTCACAGAACTTGGTGGGAGTCCTCAGGCCCATATTAAGGCCTTGATGGGTAAGCTAGGTTGTGCAGGGGACTCGTCACTCTAGAATGTTCTTGAACTTGTCCATGACACTCCATAAAATCCCATCATATGGTCACCATGAATTTTTCATCTTGTATTCTGCACTCTCAACCTGTGATCCGGGTGAATGTTTGTGTGCAAACATCTTTGCCAGGAAACTGGTGGGTCATACATGGTTGCCTTGGATGAAGTTAGTTTGATTATCTATTGCCCCTGCAGAATTAAATTGAACTGTTTGATTTCCTTCATTATATGTAGGAATTACATAATCTGGTAGTCATCACTAAAAAGGTTGTTTGGAGTCCATTCATTGAATTTTGAAATGAGTGATTAGTTTGTGTAAGTTACTCTCTGTTGCTCCTTTTATTGAACCTGCTAGTTTTAGTTATGTTTGGCCTCACTCTGTTTGTTGATTATTGGATGGTTTTCTTCTCTTTTTCCATTCTCTTGAGGTTGCCCTTTGTATATTTCACTGATGGAACTGGTGCACATTCTTTTCTTACAGGGTCATTTCAAAGAGCTCTTCCTAGAGCATGCACCACCTCCTCCTGCCCTTGCTGAATTTGCCATTGCGAACTTGATCAAGATGGGTTTCCCACAAAGAGTAGCAGAAGGTTCTATAGCAATTTGCTCCTGTCACAGAGAAGCTAAAGCAGGTTAAGGGTATATATGGCCAAGATGGGGTAGATGTTTATCTCATCACCCCATCTAGCTAGATCTTATCATAATCTTTTCCCAATCGAGTCATTCACCGAGGTATCTGCACGTCAATTGGAATTGAGCAGAGTAGCTTCAAAAACTTGCTTCAGTTGTCGAGAGAGCCTTCTCACTCCTGGTAAGTTATGCTAATACAAATGTTATATTTGCAACGTTATCTTCTGGAAATCAGTATCGTGGATAGTTTTTAGCAGCAGACTCGGGTAGTGAGTTACTTTAGCAAGAAACTAGCAGTATAGATCATGCACGACTGAAGTTGGTTATATGTCAGATTTACGAGCTATTTCTATGGTGCTACCACTTGGGGGCTATAAACTCTGCTGCTGGCACTATACTTAATTTTGAGTTTGTAATGTCTTGACTGTTTCTTGGTTTTCTGAAATAGTTTTGTGAACACAACAGTGGAATCTTCTATGAACTGCATTGTGTTTCACTCGATACTTCTTGTATTTCATATGTCAGTAGATGGATTGGCTTGATAAAAGTTTTAAGCTTGCTGTTGTGGTGGTCCCATTGCAGGTACTAACAAGGCTGGCCCTTGTGCGGCTTGTACAAAGTGCAAGCAGTATTTCAGCCTTGATTGTGACATTTATATTCACGAGAGCTTGCACAACTGCCCTCGCTGTGAGAGCCGAAGAATTACCTTAGTTGCTGCCTCTGCTATTATGAGTTGATAAACTTGTGCATTTTTGTCATTCCATGAGTTCCAGTTTTAGAGGGTTCTGGATACATTGAGAAGGTAGAGTTGGAAGGTAACTTGGTTGAATTCAGGCAAAAAAATTGTCCTTCTATTGATGTTTTCTTATATATGAAAAAGAAATAACTATTCTTAGGTTTACAAGTAAAGGGTGTTTTAGTTAGAAGTGTCTTCTTGGTTTGGACTCGAAGACCATGTATTGCTTTCAACCAATGTTGAGCAATGGAAGAGGTAGTAGTAGAGAAGAAGCATTTCAATCAAATCAACCAAGTGCTCTGATTCCTCAGCTGGAATCGCCCGTGGAACAGAAGCAACAACAGCAGCACAGATCTTCGCCGGAGTCTAATGAAGTAGTTGGGAGCCGGCTGAGGAAGATAAGCTGGATTTCTCTCCGGCAACCTGAACACAAAAGCAGTACCCTATCAATGTCCGCGAGGAGATTGGGGAGAATCAGTGTAGAGATGTTGAGATCTGAGAGTAAAGGAGAAGTACTGGAATGTGAGAACAGGTAGCAATTCTTTTTGCAGTTGGATGTAATAAACAACCTCGAATATAAAGATAAAAATAGAGTAAGCAGCTTCTATAAATCAATCAACCATCATCAATATCCCCAACATCTTAAAGAAACAATTTGCAGTGGAATATAAAATCAGCAGTTGAGGGGAAATGGGCTTCATGATCAAAATGCCCCACAAGCCAGTGGCAATTGGCTAGCTCCACTTCTAAAGGTTACAAGGCAATGATAATGATTCTAGCTCTAGGCAAAAGAGGAGGAGTAGGGAATGCAGTTAAGACACCTCCAGAACTGCGCTTAAGAAATAAATATCACTAGTTTTCTGGCCCGTGCTTCGCGACGGTAAAACTTATGTAATCCGTTTGTTTAATTGATACATAAAAACAATTATCATTCCAAATATTTTTTAGTAATATATTTATATTTTATTTAACTGTTATAGAATGGTGTTACATACATTATTCGTAATTTGTGGTCCAATAATAATAATTAAGTTATAAAAAGTATTACATCTGATTATATTATCATGTAAAAGTTAACTTACCTTATGAAACATTTGCGTAATGCAAATTGATGAGATGGTGAATAGTGTAGTTAATAATAACCAAATTTTAATTAATAATAAAAAATTAAGTTATAAAAATTATCATGTTTGATTAAACTGTTATGTAAACCTTATAAAATTTTTGTGTAAGGCAACTTAGTGAGATGGTCAATTATTTAATTAATATTAATTTTCTCCATTAAAACTGATATCATAGAAGACTAACTTACGTAATATGTATTTTTAATTGATACATAAGAAATTACTATTCCTTCTTAAACTTTATGTAATATTTTAATCATTATGAAAGAATTGATGTATCACGTTTTGTTTAGTTGATACAAAGAAATAAAAAATAGGTCTATCGCAGGATAAAAAATCATAGGATGAACAGTGATCCGGAAATTAGGTTAAGTGGTAGTTAGCGCATTTTTCGTGTGGAACAGTGTTTTTGCTTTTTGGTTACTTACGTTTTAATTATTCTAATAATGATTGAGTAATCATATGGATCAACGGCGTTCTCTTCATACATGAACATTGTTGTGATCCCTAGTAGGGATGGCAATGGGTCGGGTTGGGTAGGGTTTTGTCAAACCCAAATCCATGGGTTTATCTATGGAAAAAACCCGGGGTAAAACTCACTAGGTTTGAAAAACTCAAACCCAACCTGCTGGGTATCCGCGGGTTAATGGGTACCTACGGGTTTTTGTCGTAAAAAATTTACAATAACAAGTCTCTATCAAAATTAAAGTCAAATATCAATCTCTCAATAACAAGTACCTATACATGTGGTACAACTTTAAGTTGTACCTACACTTTCTAACAAATCTCTCTATGTACAACTCAAAATTGTACCTATACTTATGGTACAACCTTAAGTTGTACCTACACTTTCTGAAAATCCTTCTATGGTACAACCCAAACTTGTACATATACTAGTGGTACAACTTTAAATTGTACCTACACTTTTTAACAAATCCCTTTATGGCACAACTCAAAATTGTACCTATACTTGTGGTACAACCTTATGTTGTACCTACATCTTCTAAAAATCATTCTATGGTACAGCCCGAACCTGTACCTATACTTGTGGTACAACTTTCAGTCGTACCTACACTTTTTAACAAATCCCTCTATGGTACAACTCAAAATTGTACCTATAAAATGATACAACCTTATGTTGTACCTACACTTTTTGAAAATCCTTTTATGGTACAGCCCAAACTTGTACCTATACTTGTGGTACAACTTTCAGTTGTACCTACACTTTTTAACAAATTCCTCTGTGGTACAACTGAAAATTGTACCTATACTTGTGGTACAACCTTATGCTGTACCTACACTTTCTAAAAATCCTTCTATGGCACAACCCTAACTTGTACCTATACAAATGGTACAACCTAAAGTTGTACATTCACATTCTCAAAATCCTTCTATGGGTACAACTCAAACTTGTACCTATACCATGATACAACTTTATGTTGTACCTACACTTTCTCACAAATCCCTTTATGGTACAACTCAAAATTGTACCTATACCTATGATACAACTTTATGTTGTACCTACACTTTCTCACAAATCCATCTATGGTACAACTCAAAATTGTACCTACATGCTATGTACAATTTTTAGTTGTACCTATACTTTGTGAAACAAATTCTTCAATGGTACAACTCAAACTTGTACCTATACGTTATGGTACAACTGTAATTTGTACCTACACTTGCATACATTGATTTATTATTTACAAAATTGCCATTAATGATGTGGGACCAGCCATTTAATGGGTTTACCTCCCCAACAGATCACCTTCTTTTTTTGTTTTTTATAGTATGGGTGCTATAGAGCACACTAGAAGGGCTCCCGTCGAAGAAGCATAATATAAGGATGCCGCCATTGTCGAAGAGAACAACCCCTGCAAAACAAACAAACACAAGAACGCCTCTACTATGACACAACAAACCTCCATCGAAATGGACTTAAACAAGCCGGCTTTGTACAAGCCAGCTTTGTCCGAACCTCCCAATTCGGTGCAACTCTTAGCACACGACATAACATATGAAGATCGACATATACAAAACAACAACGCACAAGTGTTGACTATAAAATTGTAGAGTTTCTTGACTCCATTTGCTACCTAGCAAGAAAACTGGACAAACGAGCACATGCAGGAAAAATAAACTAAAGTAAACGAATATGGAGCTTTCTCTGTAAGCAAGAAAGGAAGGAAGTCACCACATGGAAAGTAATAAATCATTCCAACCAAGCAAGACCAACAAACAAGCAAAACCAGAAGGATAATGTGAGTTAGTAATATGTTGTTTTACTCCTTTGTCATTTTAGCCTTGATTTCGACCTTCTATTGAAGTGGTTTAGTTGGGGACAATAACATTTTAGCATTTGAGTTGTGGCCAGCCTGAAACGGACAATGCTGTAGTTAAATTATCTGGTGGTGATTTTGATTGATATTAAACTAATTTCCCTCCAATTCCAACATATGCTAACGTTGGGCGAGGCTTGAGTTTCGGGAAGGGATCCGGTTATTAACCACAAATTATATAACAATGTGTCATATTTCACTAGATAAAATTTGTCGGATTATATCTCACATATTTTAACTTGAATTTCAAATATTTTTACACAAATAAATTATATTAATTATGTTCTATAAAACTACATTTAATTTGATATTTTTTTTAGTAAAATAATAAGATGGTAATCAAGACGTATTTTACCACCATATATCATGGTGGTAGATGTTGGTGGCAGATAGGATATTGGTTACCTTGAAATACTGATTACTTGTTAACAACTCTTGTACAGATTGTTTAATTGGCCATCAACGAGAGGCCCTGCTCAACTCGTGCGAGACCTACTTCATCTCATGCTTGTACAAGGATTACTTGTCCCTAGAGGTGGCAATTTCAATCCAATCCACCAATCCAATCCATCAATCCATTAAAAATATCCACATAATCCAATCCATTTAAATCCAATCCATTTGATCCAAATCCAATTGGATTGGTGGATTCATGGATTGGATCCATGGATCATTGGCAAATTACGATTTAGTACCTATAATTTTTATTTTTTACATTTTGGTACCTAAAATTTATTTTTTTATACGAAAATATCATTGGAAAATTACGTTTTGGTACCTAAAATTTTTCATTGTGACATTTTAGTACCTAAACTTTTTACATTTTACATATTGGTCCTTGGTTGAGGATGTCATTTGGATTCATGGATAATCCACCAATCCACTTGATCCAATCCATGAATCCACCAATCCATTAGATCCAATCCATTTGATCCATGGATCCACCAATCCAATCCACCAATCCTCCAATCCAATCCATTTGCCACCTCTACTTGTCCCAATTGTAATCCCATAGTTGCTTGTGATAAAGGGTATAAACCCCGTGTAAGGCCGTCGAGCATCATTAAAATCCAATAATAAGAATTCAGCTCCCGTTGATAGGGGATACACGCAAATCTACATCTTCTTCTCATCGTTGCTTAGGTTCTTTATAATTTACATGGTATCAGAGTATTGATCCAACATCATTGGTCAGTATGTCTGGAGACGATTCATCCCTCGAGACACCGTTCACTTCAAAGTCAGTCAGCTCTGGATCAAGAGACAAAGATCTCAATGTCCACAACCCTTTTTTATCCATCAGTTGGATAGTATAGGCCATCTCCATGTTAGCAGCCTACTAACTCCATCGAACTATACATAATAGATCCTTGACATGAAGGATGCCCTAGTTACAAAGAATAAAGTCGGTTTCGTTGATGGGACCACTCCACATCCTCAAGATGGTACGCCTGTATCCCGGGCATGGTCACATTGCGATGCTCTCGTGAAAGGTTGGCTGCACACTCCGATGAATGCGGAATTGCGCAGTCGCGTCATGCACGCCAAGACAGCTCAAGAAATTTGGGAAGATCTTAGTGATCCTTTCATCAAAGCAAACTTAACACGTGTTTATGAGTTGTGCTGGCACGTGAGCTTACTTCAGCTAGTGAAGCCAATGCTATGATCAAAATTGCGTAATCTTATTGCCGTTGGTGTGTTCATGTGGACGCCGCAGCCATGCTCAAAACGAGATCCTATGCATGCTCGATTTCCTCCTGTGTCTTGATGAGGCGTATGCTACTATTTGTAGCCACATCCTCTGTATGATCATCTCGCCATCACTACCTGAATCCTTCCACATCATCTACAATGAAGAGCAGCAGAGGACACTTACACAGAACAAGAAGCTTATGTGGTATAGATTGAAGTTATAATCCTAGGATGTCCTAGGGTCATATTTCACAATGTCTTCTAATACATAAATACTCACACCATACAATCATTGACTCCACGAAAACAATAGAAGCATTTAGGGGTTTTCATTTAACTAACAAGCAAGTATTGTAAAATTGTTTAGGGGTTTTTGATTTA